AAAAAATTTTGGTATCAGGTACCGGAAACAAGCTCTTCGGTGGCATCCTGATAAAAATCTTGATAATCGCGAAACTGCAGAACATAAATTCAGAGATGTGAGCGGAAAAACAACAAACGATTATTTCGGAATTTTTCACGCACTTTTCCCCACTTGATATTCATCAGGGAGACTTTTGTATGGGAAAGTGGAAAATTGGAAATCCCCAACTTTTACTTTGGATTTTTCTGATATTTTCCCAATATTTTCCTAATATTTTCCCAATATTTTCCTGGTATTTTTCCCAATATTTTCCTGGTATTTTTCCCAATATTTTCTGGTATTTTTCCCAATATTTTCTGGTATTTTCGCAATATTTTTCGGGTATTCTCCCGATGTTTTCCCGTCCTCAGATAGCAGAAGCGTTTGATGTATTGAGTGACCCCAAGAAGAAGCAAATGTAGTACACGGAAATCGGCGGAGCGAAGATTTTTTTCTGAATTTATCCGAAAAATTTCCGTTTTTCTATATGTTTTTTTTCAGGATTTTTGTATTAATTTTGTATCGGACATTACACGCTGAATTAATGCACGTGGAGTTTTCCGCAATTTTTTTCGCGATTTTTTTCCGGAAAATTTTCATTTTTTTGATCAGATATGATCAGTTCGGAGAGGAGGGATTGAAGGATGGCGGGCCAGGCTGTGGATTTGGGCCCGGTGGCATGTAATCGTTTGGGACTTTTTCACCCAACCTTAAAACGTTCAAAGCGTCAGGCATCTCGACATCCAGTTGAGAGATGCGACAAAAATTCCTATGAAAGTGGTGACATATAATCGTTTAGGGACTTTTGTACTCACTTTTATAAACGTTTATAGCTGTGTGTTTCTTTATGGGAGGTAGTAAGAGATCGATCCGAAAATTTATGATAAATTTACAGGAATCTTTGGAATTTTTTCGAAGTTTACATACGTTTTCAGAAATTTACAGGAATTTCCGGAAATTTTCAGAAATTTTTACAAATTCTCCGGAAATTTCCGATGATACTTTTTCTTCGATAGGTTCGGCGGGGGCGGGCCAGGTGCTGGTTGCCATTATAGCTTCTCCCGAGACCCCAATGATATCTTTGCTCAAATGTTCGGAGGAGGAGGAGGAGGTTTCGGAAATAGTATGTTCATGGATGATTTTGGTGGTTTTGTTGGAGGTAGTGGGAGGTCTCCGGTTCGATCCCTGGGGACGGCATTTTTATTGTAATTTATTTTTTCATTGTAGGGATGAATCACCGGAAAGGATTCGGCCGATGTGCGTCTACGCGAGCTCCCAGTCCTGAGATGAAGAAAAGCCGTAAGTTGATAATCGATCAACTGGGCGCGCGCGCTATGTGATTATTATGTCAGGGATTGCCGAGTTCGATTTGAAGTGTTCGTTGGAGGAGCTTTATGAAGGGAAGACGAAGAGGGTGAAGGTGAGCGACGTCATACTTGAATTTCCTGTTGGGAAAAATGTGGTCATCTATAGTGCGTGTTCAGTTTGATATGCAAATGTGTGTTATTT